ACTTCTGCTTGCTCACTGCTATTCCGACTTTCATTGCCTAGTAAAAAATGGTTAGAACATTTGATACAGACTCTCCCTTGTAAAAACACTACAACACTATCTGACATTTTTAAATGTGGATAATGTGCCCGAAGATGCTCATGAATTAGAAGAAATCAACCGACGTTTTCAATGTTGATACTGGGAACCAAGGTTCTGCAATCATTTTTTTTATCTTGCCTGGTGTGATAGGGTTGTGTCACAAGAAGTTGAATCACATAAATCTCTTATGTGATTGTGTTTTGTGGCATCTCTGTAGTGGTATGTATATGGTGATCTGATTGATTGAGTGAGGTTTTTTTGACACTGGTTGCCCCTAAAGACACCCATTTACCGCTGAAATATACTGGGATTCGTAATTATTTATTAACACAAAATTGGACATATTTGATTATACTCTTGATTTAATCTAACAAATAAGTTTATTAAATTTATGTTAGGAAGGGAAAGTATTACAAGTACATTTGATACAAATCATCAGCAACAGCATCATCACCATCATCATCAGCTAAAACAGCCCTTTTTGTGCCACAGCATTCCTCAGACGATTCTGAGGATGTGCCATGCCACAGTGACAAGCGACTCACCTAACATGGTCACATCATTGCCATGGTAATTTTCAGATTATTCATCCCACTATTGTATAAGGTGATAAAAAAAAAAAAAGCATATCAGAAGTAGTTACCAGTGGAATCCCTGCTTCTCAAGTCCTGCTCCAAACCTGTTTTGTGTTATTCAAACTGTTGTAACCATATCTGAAAAAGATAAGAGACATACAGCTGTATTCAGTTATTCAGTATTGAGGGGGTGGGTTTCCCCATGCACCGCGACTGATAGTCTATTGTACATCACCCTTTTAATTTCTACAGTCTCCATCCCCTACCGGTACTGGTGCTTTCTATCAGTCCCTTTCTGCCAGCGAGGTTCCAACATTCTACTGGCAGTGGTATCTAATAGTTAGTCCCTTTCTGTCAGAGAGGTCCCCCCTCCTCTGGCAGTGGTACCAATACTTCCCCCATCTATCGGAGGCATTGGAAACTACTTTGGGCAGAATATTTTTGGTCAAATTTTGCTCAGAGGCCTCCTAGAGACATGAGGTTCTTTTACATGCCGTAAATCTATGACACGGGACCCACAGCTTAAAGTCCCTCCTGGAGGACTTGTTCCCTGAATTTTTCTGCCCTTAAAAATTCCATGACCTCCGCCGGGTTTGAACCCGCGTACCTTGAGTCATGAGGTGGGAACGTTACCCCTAGACTATGGAGGCCGCTTTCAGATGTTCTTAGTTTCATATCATCATAAATACAAAGAGTACTACCGTCTTCTTGGATGTGACGCCACGTAGTCTAACAGAATTTCACTGATATTTCGCAAGAACATACGGACTTCATCTTCAGAGTCAAGGAGCAGGACAAGCAAGTAGCCAATATGTTCCTCCCAAATAACAGTAAACTTCCATCAAACTGTACAATATCACATCCTACAAGATAGTGCTCCTCACAGTTATTGCTGTGAGAACCTCAAAACCCATAAATACACAAATTCCTCACTTAGCATTGTCTCAGTTAATGTTGTTTTGTACTATGGTACCATTTCCACAAGGCTCCGCACAAAGTTGTGTTAACTTATTATTATATTGTTGTTCATCCCAGGGTTCAAGAATATGGTTGAAGAGGAGGGTTATTCACCTAAATAAGTGTTTAATGTTGATGAAATTGGGCTGTCACATAGCACTTGCTAGTTTCACCTTCGGTCATCAGTTAATACAATACATCACACTAAATGTTAAATAAATACTACTGTAGTATACAGCTGCAAGAATAAACAAGTAGTTACATCTGCATTCATACTGTCTACACTTTTAATGCATGTTATGTGGTGAAGAAAGGCTGAGGAACGTAACCTATTTATTATATTTCTTATGGTAAAATGAATCTGCTTAATGTAGTTTCACATAACATCATAGTTTATAAGAACATATTCACAACATTAAATGAGGACTTAAAAGTGATAAAACAGAAATTTGTACATGAACACATGTGTTAACATGTCATTTTTAAACCCTACTCCTAAATAATCAACATTAAAAATACAGAGTTCTATCTCCTGGGATATAAAGTCATGCAGTCCACTGAATGTCAACCAGTGTTTCCGAGGAACATGCCACCTCCATCTTCAAGGTTTGCTTCATACCTGCTTCACAGTGGTTTCTTGCTTGGTTTATTCTTCGACCGTAAAGATGGAGGCAAGATTTTCCTCCAAAACACTGGATGACTTTCCACAGACTCACAACATTATATCCCAGAAGGTAAGATTCTTCATGAGAACCTCAAATCCTACATTAAAAATACAGTTCGAACAACTGCTGAAGTCTCTGAACTGATAAATAATGGTAAAAGTTAAAGATAAAGCTATCCCTGTAACAGGCCATGGAGGCCCATTGGGCCAGTAAGACATCAAGGCTCTAGACAATCGGCTCACAGATGGCAGTGAGGTTGTCAGCCCTACACTTCAGACACCCTTTACCACCCTGGAATATTGCTGGTACTCATTTCTGTTAGAGGCTGAGTCAACCACAGGGCCATAGTGTGGGTGCAAGGGTTAGGTCAACTAAAAAATTCATTGACTTCATTGGGAATTGAACCCATGACCTTCCAGCTTGTAGCACAGTGCCTCAACCAACTATACTACCATGAGCCCCCAATAAATAATGATAAAGAAAATGAAATTAGTATAAATATAGAACTGATTTCAAACATGGTACACAATATTGCCAAGTTATGGGATTCTTCTGATGTTATGGTGTTTCATCTTAATAGAAAAAACTGAAATAAATTTGCAAAGGGAAGTAAATATAGAGTAATTCAGATTGTGCTACTCTGGGATGTCAAGCTGTGTCGTCTCATTAGTAGACACTGACATGTTGGAGGAAGTGCTGCCACCACCTTTAAGGTTGAAACGTGTAACAAGAGGTAAGAGGAAATGGGAACAGAGCCCAGTATGCACCGATGGGAACAGTACACAGAGAAACAGCCCTATTCTGGATCTTCAACACAGAAGGGAAATGGAATTGTGAACTGTGGGTCTGAGTGATCATTTTCCTTGCTGCCTACTTATATTTCCTCAATTTACACATTTCAACCATGAATATGGAGGCAACACATTCCTCCAAAACGTTATCTGCCTACAAGACTATAGAGTGTTACAACCTAGAAGAGCACAATCTGAACAATAATAAAACTTTATCATAAAGTAATAATGAAGTTCTATTTAAAAACAATACCATCTTACATTTGTGCTTCAGCAATTACATTATTTCATAATAGGCTGTAAATATTGGGCAACTTTTTTCCTTCCCATAAACTGCAGTTAGTTACATGAAATCTTATGCTGCTCACAAATTCTACATTTCAGTCTTTATTGTATGCATCCTGCTGTGTATCAGGAAGTGGTATTACTATGTGGCCATCAACACAACAAATTCCAAATAAATAAATCAATATTACTGTTCCTTCTGCCTTTCCCACCAAAAACCTCTATGCATTCCTATTCTCCCCCATGCACTCTACATACCCTGCCCCTCATTCTCATTGACTCGATAATTCTTATTGTACCTGGCAAAGAGTAAAAGTCATGAAGCTCCTCATAATGCAGTTTTCTCCAACATTCATCCCTCTTTGGTCCCCATATTCTCTCAGCACCCTAGTCTCAAATACTTTCAGTTCATTTTCTTTCCTTAATGTCAGAGACCAAGCTACACACCCATACAAAACTACAGGCAAAATTATAGTTTTGTACAGTTTAATTTTTATGTTTTCTGACAGCAGATGACCGCTCAATGGAGAGAAATTTGACGAGATCAGTACTTAACTTCAATATTATCCTTTAAAATCCCTCAATCACCTCACAGAAGACATAGTTTTCGAAAACATCAGGACAGACTAGCATAATACTCTTGAAAATGAAACCATATAAGACAATGCTAGTCAGCCACTATATAACACATTAGGTCACTTCAAGATAGCTGTTGTATAATTTATTGGATCAATACTGAACCGAAACTGTAATGTGCAAAGCCTCCGGATTCGCCAGACTCTCTCAACCTGTAAGTATCTGTACTGCTTGGGTTGATTTGAAAATTGTCTGTCCCGCCTGAGCAGCAGAACAGTTTTCCCCCAGTTCTCAATTGCAATGTAAGTGCATCTCTCATGCATTTATGGATTCAAAGACTGTCAAACATTTCAAGACGCTCAAACCAAGTGACCCTTATCACTATGGAATCCACATCATTAAAGTCTAACTGTTTCACCGATTACTTAGTGCCTTCTGGGATATGATACTGTGTAGTCTTGTAGATCGTTACAACTGTTTCGGAGGAATGTACTGCATCCATCTTCAGGGCAGAAGGAGATGGCCAAAGCATGTTCCTCTGAAACACTGGTATAGATCTACCAAACTACACAGCTTCTCATTCCAGACAACAGCCATCTTCAGCGTCACCAATGTATGGACCTCACCTCCAACTGCTCTAATCCTTCTGAATGCAGTTATGCAGGACATATCCTAACAAGCTAAGGATGCAATCCTGAAGGCATACCTGCAAAGATGGAATCCCAAGCCCCAGTAAGGAGGCATATATGGCCTTCCAATTACTTCGTATATTGCTGGATAACATTCTGTGGACTAGGACCCAAGAAAATGAAGTCTAGGAGCCCTCCCAGTGTTCGAAACGTTACAGCTGGTGCTGGCTGGAGGATCACCTCTGCAACATTATACAAGGTGTTTCCCAAAAGTCATGAAATATATTTCTTTCCCGTGCTCCTACTGGTCGGAGTGCGCTGGAACCAGTTGGGTTAGGGGGGAAGCCTTTAGCTTCACAGCGTGCCCAAGGTAAGTCTGCTCGAGCATCGGAGGCATCAGTATCGCTGATTTAGTGCACCTGTGTTTTGTGACCACGTAGCGATGGCGGATATTTTCGAACAATGTTGGGCGGTCAAGTACTGCACAAAGCTCAACAAAAAAGCTGCCGAAACTCACGAACTGCTTAAGCAAGCTTACGGGGAGTCTGCTCTATCATATGTGCAAGTTACAAGGTGGGTGAAGAAGTTTAAGGAGGGCCAGGAAAGAGTGGAAGATGACCCCCGCTCTGGACGGCCATCAACAAGCCAAACCGATGAAAATGTGACTCATGTGCATGATTTGTTGAATACTGACTGTCGAATGACTGTCTGGTTGTTAGCCGACACTCTGAACATTCCAAAAACCGTTGTGCATCGCATCGTTATGGACGAATTGAATGTGCGAAAGGTGTGCGCCAAGCTGGTCCTCAAATTGTTGATGGACGAGCAAAAGGCCAATCAAGTGTTGATCGCGAGTGAATTGAAGGAACGTGTGGAAATTGAACCTCATTATTTAGACTGTGTTATTACCGGTGATGAAATGTGGACATTTGAGTAAGACTCAGAAACGAAGCGCCAGAGTGCTGAATGGCACACCTCGGCTTCCCCGAAACCGAAGAAGGCGAACATTAGCAAATCCAAAGTGAAAACAATGCTTATCGTCTTTTTCGACGCCAAGGGTGTGGTACACAAAGAGTTTTTACCTCAAGGACAGACCGTCAACGCTCCCTACTACGTGGATGTTCTAGAAAGATTAAGGAAAAGGATCATCCGCATGCAAAAAGACATTACCGCTAACTGACGGCTGCATCATGACAATGCGCCCAGCCACACGTCTCTGCTCGTCCGTGAGTTTCTGGCGAAGCACCACGTGGCAACGCTGCCGCAGCCACCCTACAGCCCCGACCTAGCTCCGCCCAACTTCTTTTTGTTCCCGAGGATCTCAAGACTGCACTCAAAGGACGCCGTTTTGAAAGCATTCAGGCTATCCAAGCGGCCGTGACAACAGCTTTAAATGAGGTTCCCGTCGAGGCCTTTCCGGGCACGGGAGAGTCGGTGGAAAAAATGTGTAGATGCTCATGGACAGTACTTTGAAGAATATTAACACTTTGTACCGATATCATCAAAAAATTTAAAAAATATATATATATTTCATGACTTTTGGGACACACCTTGTACCTCTTAAAACTGTGAGCTTCATTATGACCAAACTATAAAAGTGACGGTACTAACAAACAATTCATAGCCAGTAAAACTGGATTATTTATTTAAAATAGATGCCTCAAGAAGAATTTAGGATCGTGGCAAGATACCTTACAATATTCAGTATTACTGGGTTCTTGGACTTTGTCCCTCGTCTGGTATTCTAAAAATACTAGAGAACACAATGTTTCAGAAACTGGATCTGTTTCCATCCTTAAGTGATGGGGGAGACACCTACTCTGTTGAGTCCTTACACCAGTCATAACCCTTTAGAATCTAATGATACAATATGTATAATAACTATACCATAAAGTTATAAGATTTTATGAAATGTAAAATGACTGAGACCCTTAATTTTCTCATGTACAAAGATAAACTATGTATGAAGTACATGCTCCTAATTAAAAAATTAATAAATCATGATTGCAAATATGTGGTAACATTATGGTAACCAAAACATTTAACAAAACCTGACCCTGAAGACGTTAATCTCTTTCAGTTTCATCTTTTCTTGTGTTACCCTATCATGATACTTCCATCAAATAAATCATGTAGCAGAGTTACAACAAAATATCTCACTTACCCATAGCATTGCTATTGAGCAGAAACACACCATGGCTTTTCCCGCTTTTCTCCATCATCAGATAAAATGGATGACTGCCATAAAGGTTTGCCTGAAAAACAACAAACAACATGCAATAACAGTGAAGCATTTCAACAGAATAGGCAACGAAGAATTTCGAGATTTGCAGAGAAAACTGTTAAGAGATTTGCCATGCAACAGTTGCAAGGTCTTTCAGAATCCAAATAACAAGACAGTACAGATAATGGAGCGTCCCTAAGAGACTGAGTGATGAAATAGGCTCAAGTAGTAATGTTTCTGACCTGTATTCAAGAGGTAAACAATCCGAATCTTGGCTGGACACTAGCTACCCTGACTGAAGTGATTCATGGTTTTCCTCAATCCCTCCATGAAACAAAAAGAGTTAACTACACTGTGAGGGCTGGAAATTATAAGTATACACACGGAGTGAGCCCCAGTGCTGTAATATGCATGCCATGTTCAATATAAGCTGTTGATTCAAAAGCATTTTAGCAAGGGACAAAAACAAATACACACCCACACCATATTGAATTTGTGATATGAGATGCCTCATTTTCATTATAAACTTTAAAGAAAGTTAGAAAATTTAACTGTTGTAACCCATGCACTATAGAATGCAGAAGGCTTTGGAGGCTATATACCCAGGAGCAAATTTACTATTCCACTCAGAAACATTTTGTCAATGACCCATTCTTTTAGAAATTTTGGAACCGTTTAGAAATCTTAAAGACAGAACTGTTCTGTCTTGTTCCAAAGATGTGTTGACCACTGATGTCTCAGCCAGTCTACCTCTGAATTCTTGTATTTTGTGGCAAGCAGAACTGACTGAGCCACTTTGTCTCTATCACTAATAGAAGGGCAGTTCAAGAGGGTACCAGCACAACAAATAGCCACTAAGGGTATACCTCAACCAACACACAATGGAGAATCATAACACTGCATCGTACTACATGAGCACAAATATACAATTAAGGTGATATTTCTTTATTCAAATACTGCTTCTTAGAAAAGAAGCGTGGCCTTATTTTCAGACCCTTACAAATAAGTAGGAAGATGATAAGGAGTTCTAATTGCTAACTCCAATAATATTTGTGAAAATATTTATAATTATATTGGAGATATTAAATTCTGAATTTGCTATTTTTTATAGTACTTAATGCCTTTTGATTATAGCCCTCAGAACTGGATATTCCTCTCTCATTACAAAAGTAAATTTCTTTTTCTGATTTTTCTCATTGGAAAACAGTGGGCTGCTTCATATTCGGTGTCGCCTATGTTCAGGCTTAAGCGATACATTTCAATAGTAGTTGGTGTTGTGTCGGTGTGTATTTATATAAGCCCTACCAAAGAGCTCGGGCAGAATGAGATTCTGGAGTGGTAATGTTCTATAAAATTACCTCTCTCCCCATTCTTTCACAACATTAGAGTGGAATCAAAACCAGTGAACCATTGTATTATTTTCCTGGAAAGGGTGTTATTTTAGGGATGTTTTCCAGTGAAGCAGTTTGATCAGGTGGTAACAGCAAAAGTAGAGTTTAGGGAGTGGATTCTGATCAGGTAAGCTGAGATGTCCTCAAAAAGTAGGTGAATATTACACCCACTTCAGTTACACCAAGCCTGGTAAATGGTGGGCCACCAGTAAAATTCAGGGACCCTCTCCACATCCCAGCACCCCTGAGAATCCTTCATCCTCACTCTCAACACAACAAACAGTGTCAGTGGTCACATATGTGGATCAACTGCTCTCTCAAAGCACTAATTTTGCAGTAAGTAAGAAAGATCAATGTAGCTTAACATCTGGCTCTATAGATAAGCAATACATATAATGCAAACTATCAGTTACCTCAGTAATAACTCCAAACACGTGTCACATAATAACCACTTACATCCCCGGGACCAGGCACAGAAGTTTAAATAAGTACAGTTGCTTTCGCAGGACATCATTAAAACAAGGGTGTAACTAAAACAGCATTCCTAATGAATATCTGTGAAAACTATGAGGGCCATTCAAAGTTGACCTTGATTTGTTTTTCTTTTTTCTTTTTACAAAAAAGACATGCCAGAATCACCAAACTCTTGCCCCTTTTCAAGATACTCTCTGTTTACCCTAACATATTTTCCCAACATCTCGGCGAGTTACTGATGACAATAGCATACCAGGGTCTATTCTTACTGTGTAGCCAGTTCAGGACGTTGCATTTGAGTTCATCACCAGTTTCAAATTTCTGCCCTCCTGCATGCACTTTCACTGGTCCAAACAAATGAAAATCACTGGAGGCTACGTCAGGGCTGTAGGGAGAGTGGCACCCTGTTGCCAATCTGCCGTATCTGAGCAAGCACTGTTATGCAGGAGGTGAGCTGTTGACAGTTCCCGGATCTCTTTCTTTCCCCAAATTGCTTGGTGAACATTAGTGTGAAGCA